AAGCAGATGATTCAAGTCGTGAAGTGGGCAAAGGTAATTCCAGGTAGGCTTGCCTCTCCTTCCATGGTCTGTGTCCTGAACTGGACAGGGCAGGGCAACCTCTTACACCACATCCAACTGAGTGATCAGAGTTGGCTTTCTCTTAAATCCCGGGAGCAAATGGTAAAATTATCAGATGAATCGAGTGCGTCGCGGAATTCTGGTTAGTGTGCTCACTTCTCCGGAGCAGTTAGAGTTGAAGGTTCTCTTGGTAACAGGTCACACATTTCCTGTGGATGACTGCAATGGCAGTGTCATCCCAGAGAAATGGTCGTGAAAGCAGAACAGCCTGTTACTAGCAGCTTGTAACCAAGGCTGATCTAACCAAAGACCAAATACACCAAGACCTGTCTATTAAGTTGTAGGAGCCCCTAAAAATCTGTCCTTTCAAAAAATAACATCTTTCCTCTAGCACCCTTTAAATTGTCCTTGAAATTCCTACTTTAGTCATTTTTTATGCCACAGGATTTTATGAAGAAGGTCCCCATTAATTTACAGAAACATCACTTAGAATTGCTACCATAACAGCCCAGTACAGTTACCCAAAGCAGTTTGTTAAAGGACCTGTGGCCAACCAACAGCCATAGGAATGCAGACTGGGGAAAGGAGCAGCAGAAGGGCTTGAGACCCAGAAAGGAGGCCTGTGGGACAGGGGACAGGTGCCAAGAGTGCTTATCCAAATTCAGAACTTTTTTGAAGTCCAGGGTTATCCCAGACTATGGGAAGCAAGGAATAATGCTTGTTCAACCGCTGCAAACTCATGAAGAGTAAAAGCTACATAATTGCAGATAAGACAGTAGCTGATGTTATTAAATTACCCTATATGTTAATATTATTAACTGCGAGTAGGATAGAGATGTTTTACAGGTTAATACAGAGTCTTTCAGGCTAACCAAGGGTGTTAGACCATCATCCAGCGAAACGCCCTGAACTTCCCAGTCTTATTGGCCCTGGCTATTCACCCTCATTGAAAATTTAGAGTGAATTGAAATGAGGCGTTAAACAGGGCCAAGCCCATGGTGGGTGCTCTGTAAATGACTGGGACATTGGTTGGAGTCTTAGAGGAAGGTGGCTGTTGGGAGGTTAACTTAAGAAGCTTCTTCCTGGAATGTTCTCAAATGCTAAGTGTGTTTCTGTGTTTAATTGTTCTGTTCTTCAGGATTTAAAAACTTGCCTCTTGAGGACCAAATCACCCTCATCCAGTATTCTTGGATGTGTCTATCCTCGTTCGCCTTGAGCTGGAGGTCGTACAAACACACGAACAGCCAATTTCTCTATTTCGCACCAGACCTGGTCTTTAATGAGTGAGTACCTGTTAATTAGCCTTCATAAAGCAGACTGCAGCATTATTTCTTATGTCTTTATGATTTCTAAACATGTATGTTTGTGAAGGAATCCACTGCTGCTTGCAATTTTTAAGAGTTAAAAAAAGCTATCATTTGAGAATTTAAAAATTACTCTTTACCAAATCATCGTGCACATGCCTGCATATGGATAAATCAGTATATATAAATCGCACATAATAGTATGTGGGAATTGTCCCAAAAGAAAGATGATCCAGTTGGCTCCAAAAGCTGGACTGGTACAAAGCCACAATTAATAGAAAACAGCCACTTTTGGTATCTACACTCAGACTGTCTAATTTCTAGGAAGTGTGAGTGTAGAAGCACCTACTTCTGTGCACATTCATGTAGTGGTTCTTCTGTTAAGGCTGCACAGCTGCTTGGGGAGTTTTCATGACAATTATATTTATTCTTCTTTGCAGTCATAAGAGAAGCCAAACTGTTAGTTTTATGATGCACTTTCAAAGATTGAAAGGATTGCGGTTGGTTTTCCTTTGGCCGTGAATTCCTTCCTATGTTTTAAGTTTACATGTTAATGCTGTTTGTATTCCACATGCGCGCATTTCCTCTGTGTCTCTCCAGCAGTGCTGCTTTGTATTTGTTGGGTCAAGAGATACAGAAAATAAACTGGAACGTTTGGGTGATGAAGTGAACCACAGCCATATTCCAACAGATGGCTCTCCCTGGAGATATGAAAATAGGGGTGTTCAGTGGGGAAGGAAGCAGATGAGAAATAGATTGATGATCAAAGAAACAAAAGCAATGGGAGAGATTAAAAGTGGACACAGAGTGCCAAGATGCTGAAATAGCATCAGCACTGATTTACCTGGGAGGGCTGGTTCACCCGAATACGGTGACCTGCAGGCACTAGTATCCCAGGATAAATCAGGAGCGGCAGTTGTTGGCTCTCAAGGTGACCCTTCTCTTGGCAATTACAAAGAATAATTCTGTTACTGCATAAATTTTCACCAAAAGCCTGAAGTGCGGCCAAACAACTGACGTGCACATTTTAATTTACTTGTTGTCCTCGGTAATTAGTTGATATTACTAAATAATAAGCCTGTTTTAAAATATGGCTTATAAGCCAAAGAAAAACATAGTAAAGAGGGTATTTTCTTTAAAAAGAAGTGAGGCTGTTGGTGTCATCCAGTGTGTCTCCATTTCTTTTCAACAGGAGATTAAAGTGATCCATTTAATTTCATTTAGCACATACATTTTTGTCATAAACTATATGTAACATAATTTTCCATTTTAATTATTTTAAGTGTACAGTGCAGGGGTGCTAATTGCATTCACATGTACAGCCGTCCCACTGTCCGTCTCCAGTCCTTTTTCACCGTCCTTAACAGAAACTCTGATCCCAGGGAGCAGTAACTCCACATTCCCCCGACCCCAAAACCCTGATAACCGCTAGTCTGTGAATTGGCCTGTTCTAGGTATTGCATCAGAAAAGGTGTGTCCTTTTGCTTCTGACTTATTCCACTTAGCGCGTCTTCAGCGTTCACCCTTATTGGAGTATGTATCAGGATTTCATTTAATGGCTGAATATTATTGCATTGTATGTATATACAGTGGGTCCTCGTTGATAACAGGTTTTGCACTTGTGAATTGGCCTCTTTCTACATTTATTTGTCAACCCCTTGCAGCACTCTCGGGGCTGTTTGCAGGCCTGCACAGAGGCAGTGCGTTTCCGCGGCCCAGCCCGTGTGTTTCAGCTGAGACTGTGTCCCGTGTCAGCCTTCGTGTTGTAAACAAGTGTCCTTCTCATGGTCTACTTACTGCCATAGGTTGGCACTGCTGGGCTTTTTGTTTGTGATTTCCCTGTTGAACGTGACTCCCAAGCACATGCTGAAGGCTAGGGTTCCTGAGGGCAAGAGGCTGTAATGCGCCTTAAGGAGAAAATGCAGGCTCTAAATAAGCTTCTTTCTGTGCTGTTGGCCGTGAGTTCAAAGTTAATGAAACAGCAGTATGTGTCACTGAGGTGTCTCTAACAGAGATACACATAAAACGGGAGTAGGTATAGGTCAGTTGATGAAAATGTTAGAGCCAGTGGCTCTTGAGAGCCTCATGCTCCCGTAGGAGGAGCAGTTCAGTGCTCGCTAATTCAGTCTTTGCTGCCACCTCCTAGAACATAAGACCTTATTTATTTTCCCCAGATAGAGAGACTTACCCACATTTTGTTTACTCTTTCATCTGTTGATGGACATTTGGGTTTTTTTCCCCTCTGGCTACTGTGAATTTTGCTGCTATCCACATCGGTGTATAAGTATGTGTTTGAATCCCTGCCATCATTTCTTCTGGGTATGTACCCATGAGTGGAACTGCTGGGTCACATGGCGATTCTATATTTAACTTTTAAGGAGCCACACAACTGTTTTTCACAGCAGTTGCACCTTTTCCATTTCTGGCAATGTAATGAGAGTAACAAGAGTTCCAAATTCACCACATCCCTGCCAGCACTTATTTTCTCTTTTGTTTTGTTTTTAAATAGCTATAGTAGGTGAAAAGTGTTGTGGAGAGTTTAAAATATACTCCATATATAGCATCATGTAGATTTAAAGTGTATAGCATGTTGATTTGATACATTTACATATCCTATATAATAAAAGCCTAATATGCTAAGTATCCAGTCGACCAGTTGGCCGTTCAACCAATCAAAAGTGTAATATGCTAATGATATGCTTAGGCTGCTCAACCACTCACTATAATGTGCACTGACCACCAGGGGCCAGTCTACCAGTCGATCAGTCACTATGATGTGCACTGACCACCAGGGGGGCAGATGCTCCAACTGGTAGGTTAGCTTGCTGCTGGGGTCCGACTGATCAGGACTGAGCAAAACTGGACAGACATGCCCTGGAGCCCTCCCGCAGTGGTCCCTCGCTGACTGGCCAACCTCCTGTGTCCCTCCCCAACCCCGATCGTGCACCAGTGGGGTCCATTGGCCTGGCCTGCGCCCTTTCACAATCCAGGACCCCTTGGGATGTCGGAGTGCTAGTTTTGGCCTAATACTGCAGGCCAACCTGAGGGACCCCACTGGTGCACAAATTCATGCACCAGGCCTCGAGTTGTAATACGATTGCCATTGTGCCTCTAGCACCTTTATCATGTCAGATAATCATCATTTCCTTCTTTGTGGTAGGAACAAATAAAATCTAGTCTCTTAGCAAGTTTAATGGTTATAATACCATTGTCTGTATTCACTATACTGTGCATCAGATCTGTAGAACTTGTCTACTAGTTGAAAGTTTGTGCGTTTAAACAGCATCTCTCTTCCCCTACCCCTAACCCCTGACCACACCACCATTCTACTCTGTTTTTGCAAGTTTGGCTTCTTAGGTTCCACAAACAAGTGATATCTTAGTTTGCTTTATCTGTCTGACATGTCTCTTAGTAGGTATGAAGTGGCATCTCCTTGTGGTTTTGATTAGCATTTCCCTAATGTTGGGAACCTTTCATGTGCTTATTAGCCATTTGTATGGCTTCTTTAGAGAAATGTCATTCAAGTCCTTTGCCCATTTTTTATTAGGTTGCTTGCCTTTTGTTCTTGAGTTGTAGGAGCTCTTTACATATTCTGGGTATTAAACCCTTATCAGATACATGATTTGTAATTTTTTCCCATTCTGTGGGTTGTCTTTTCACTTTCTTGATATAATATCTTTTAATGCACTTTTAAAATTGAAGTTTTTAATTTTAATGAAGTCCATTTTATCTTTTGTTGTTGTTGTTGCCTATGTTGACATCAATTAATTTTTAATTGTGTGCAAACATTCAACTTTACAGGTTCCAAACAAAGTGCAAAATTGTAAGAATCCTTCTTAACAAGTGAAACTTAGGGTCAAGCACCTTATATTTGAAGCCTGGGAGAATTAATGTCAATAAAGAGTTTGGAAAATAAGGAATAATAAACCAAAAAAAGAAAAAGAAAAGGTCATGTAAGCTCTTTATGCATTTATCTGTTCTAGAAAATAGTAATAGAGATAAAATGGAACCAACAACAAAAGTTGCATTCTAATGTTATAAGTTTAAATGTTACAAAATCACATAATATTTGAATGAAAAGTTTGTTTCTTTTTCTGAAAACCATTGACCTCAACTTGAACCTAAGACTTCTGTAAACTTTCTCTCAACTAGAAAGAGAAGGGTGGAGCTGCGTCTTTTTCAAAGGACTGGGAAGGGGGAAGGCTACTCCCAGGAAACATTTGGGGATGGCACAAAGCCTTTTAGGCAAGTTGAGCTTGATGCGGTAGCTCTATTACAGGGTGCTATCACAGACCCTGTATTTTTTAGGGAAACTACTAAGTTACAGAGAATGTCCTGCAACTAACGTCTGAATGTGGATGCATGCTTCATCCTGCATTTATTCAGTGTTCTACGCAGTGGTTTTAGAATACCGGGGGAAAAAATATATAATTCCTGTCTCATGGAACATAGCAGTCTAGTAGGGAAAAAGAAATTATTTAAAGGATCCCAGAGTTATTATTGTGATAAGTATCAAAAAGGAAAATTGCTTTGAGGGCAAGCAGTTCATGGGAGGTGTTGATCTAGTCAGGAAAGGTTTCCCTGGACTAAATTAGTGTCAATCAGGTGAAGGAAGTATAAGAAGAGGAGAGCTGATTTAGGCTGAGGCACCAGCATGTGCAAAGGCCCTGTGGCAGGAAGGACCTGAATGAAAGACATTGTAATGATGGACATGGAGAGATGTGAACAGGTGTTGAAAGCCAAAAGCACCAGCAGTTGCCAGTGGTTGGATTCTGGTGAGGTTTGGAGGGGAGGAAGAAGTCAATGTCTAGGATGACTTCCAGGTCTGTGCCTTAAGTGCCATGTAGGATTTGGTTGGTGTGACTCCCTGGACTAGGGAACAAGGACAGAGGACCAGGGTTTAGAAGGGGAGAGTAAGGGAGGCCAGATGTGGACATGTGAGGGTTGAATCATCTTTGAAACAGTATCCAAGAGGAAAT